CAAACAGAGGCTCTGACCCATGCCTTAATCCAGGCATTTAATTCACTTAATTTGGGTCAGCAGGTAACAATGGGGCCTAGAGGGATAGAAGGTCCATATTTTGGCTGTGGCCAGACTGACCATATTAAAAGAAATTGCCCTCAGTGAGAGAACTGGCCTAAGCCTGGAGGTGGGGTATCAAAAAGACCCCCATCTATGCCCTGTCTCCGGTGTCACAAAGGACTCCATTGGCAAAAGGAATGTAAATTCAGATTTGATATTGAAGGAAAGCCTTTAAACTAAGTGGGGGGCAGCCTCCAGCCCCGTTGACAAAAGGAGGACTTCCCCATGATCGGCTACATTTACAATGCCCTCTGGGAGGGATCGGGAGAGGAGAAAAACCTATGGCAAATTGGACAGTCCCTACTATCCCTGGTGTAAGGCCCAAGATGGATCTTGAAATAGGTGGCAGGAGGTTTCGCTGCCTAGTGGACACGGGGGCTGATAGAACCATTCTTAGAAAGGAGGAGATCCCATCACAATAGCACCTAGTTTCTGGGCCCTGAATCCTAGTTGTGGGAGGATACACCCCATCAGAGGAGACTCCAGAATGGCTCACCTGGCAGGATGCAGATGGAGCTAAAGGGGAGGTGCGACCCCTGGTGGCGGCAAGGTTATCCGCCAACCTCATAGGACAAGATATCTTGGGGGATGCACAGGCCTGCATAACCACTGATAGCAAGGCCTTTTATGATGACCTTTTGGATCTTGAAGAGTCTGATAGGCTTCCTGAGTCAGCAACTCAAGGGTTGCCTCGCCATATCAATTACAGGGGGGACCCAAAGAAAGAGCATTGGGTTCACCCCCAATTCTAAGGGCCACTGCCCCTGGTCCCCTGGGGTGCCAGTATGGTTGGAGCAGTGGCCATTACCTTAGACAAAGCTACAGGCTTTAAATGAAATTGTGCAGGAATAATTACAGTTGGGCCACATCCGGCCTTCTGTAAGTCCATGGAACACACCTGTCTTTGTTATTAAGAAAGCCTCTGGCAAATGGAAAATGTTGCAAAATTTGTGTAAAGTCAATGCTAGAATGACCCTAGTGGGTACACCCTTAAGGGGGCTGCCTTGGATCCCTGCTATTCCCTCAGATTTATTTCTTATACACATTAAATATTGTTTTTTCTCTATCCCTCTCAACTTTAAAACGCCTGATGAGAGGTATAAATGGACTGTTTTACCCCAAGGTATGGCCAATAGCCCAACATTCTGCTCCTTTTGGAGCCTGCTCACTTGCTGCCACATGCCACTGTGTACACGCCTAGTAAAGATCTTGAGTTATGGGTACTCTCTGGTGAGACCCTGATAACATCTGTCCTTACACAGGATGAGAAGCCCCTTCAATGGGTGCATGCCTCTCGGGGAGACGTACCACGGGTTTATACACCCATGGATCAATTGGCTGACCTGATTGAGAAAGGACGTGATGTAGCTCTGAGACATTATGGCATAGGTCCTCTTAAAATTGTTATCCCTTATCAGCTTAGGGATTTTGAATGGCTCTGCAGAAATAATAACCGAGTGGCCATAGCCTTGGAAGGGTTCCTGGGAAATTTGGACTGTCATTATGACCCTCATAAATGGGTGACCTCCTTTTGCACCCTCTTTGTCAAGGAGCCGTTAGTAAAAGCCTATAATGTTTTCACAGGAGGCAGATTTGGAGCTGCAGTGGTAGTATACCCAGGGGCAGATGAGAAACCAAAAAGATATGTCCACACTTGCGATGGCTCAGCTCAATTCAAGGAACTCATGGCCATTGCTTTAGCATTAACAAAGATAACTGAGCCCATGGATTTGTTTTCTGACAGTCTGTATGTAGTCAGTCTTCTTCCAGGGCTATTGGGTTCTCATATCCAGTTGGATGGGAACCCCATTACTCTCTTGATGATTCAGACTCTTACAATCCTTAAAGAAAGAGAATCCCCTATTTTCTTACAGCATCTTAGGGATCACCAAGGATTTCCTGGGCTTTTATCCCAAGGCAATGCAGAGGAAATGCAGAGGCAGACAAGGTGGCTTCCACCAAGGTCCTGGCAGCAGGCCTGAATGAAGCCCGGGGTTACATAACCTCACTCATGTAAATTAGCAGGGACTCCATAAGAGGTTTCCTCAAGTTCCCATCAAGGACCTAAAGAAGATTG